CCTTCAGCATCAGCGCACTATTATAATTGATTTGTATTTCTTCTTCACTTATAAACAGGATCTGGATCTCCTTATTCCACACCTGCTTCAATACCACAGACCTCTCCATCCACCCCGGTAGATGTCACTGGTTCAACAGCAGTGGATAACAACACAGGAGTAAAGGGGGTGGTCCGCCTGGTAAATAGGGATTACGGCTCCTGCTCTGGCAGGGTGGAGATCTTCCACAGAGGCCAGTGGGGGACAGTGTGTGATGATTCTTGGAGCCTGGAGGATGCTCAGGTGGTATGTAGGCAGCTGGGCTGTGGTAGGGTCCTCTCCATGCCAACTAATGCACCATTTGGACAAGGCACAGGGCCCATCTGGATGGATGATGTGTCATGCACAGGCCGGGAATCCAACCTGTTTGAGTGTCGCCACTCAGGGTTTGGATCTCACAACTGCAGCCACAGTAAAGACGCCAGTGTCATTTGTGAAGGTAAATTTGAGAAGTAGGATGCACTCAGGTTTCCACCTGTTTCACTGTTTGTCCCCGATACAATCTTGACTGAGAGGTTTTCAGTGACAAATTCTATTACACAATTATATTCACTTTACACTACAATATTTTACCTCCAGGCTCTTTGACATTGAATGCTTCAATTTTGTTAAACATTTAAAGTTGAAGGAATGTGGAGTTTAAATTGGGTAATTTGCAATGTTAATCTACAGTTTATAGTGACTCATTCTAAATTTATCATTGTTTTCTTGCATTTCATTTTAACACAGAAACTCAAGGGAATGTTCGCTTGGTTAATGGAGGGCATGGCTCCTGCTCTGGCAGGGTGGAGATCTTCAACAGAGGCCAGTGGGGGACAGTGTGTGATGATTCTTGGGGCCTGGGCAATGCTCAGGTGGTATGTAGGCAGCTGGGCTGTGGTAGGGTCCTCTCTGCACCAACTAATGCACGATTTGGACAGGGCACAGGGCCCATATGGATGGGTAATATTGCATGCACAGGCAGGGAATCCAAGCTCTCTGAGTGTCGCCACTCAGGGTTTGGATCTCACGACTGCAGCCACAGTGAAGACGCCGGTGTCATATGTGATGGTAAATTTTAGCAGCTGGAGAGTTTATCTTACCAACATGGAAATACTATGTTTGATCTATGTTACAGTTTTACCTACAAGTGTTATTGCATTAAATAGTTTTTCTTTCTAAGCCCTTCTGTACCTGCTGCTTTTACTGTTGCTATTTACATAAATTAATCTTGAGATGAAGTTTACATCTCAGGTGAGATTTACTCATTTCAGGTTACTTCCTGCTCACTTGCTCACTTTTCATTGAATCGTATTAGTTCCCCATCCACATCATCAGTTTTTAATGACACAGAGACTACTGAATTTAAGGTTACGGCTCTCTTCTCATTAATTGAGTTTAGTCTGCAGAGCATATTTTTTGAAAAATAATAATTAATTGTTTAGTTGTTTTTCTTTATTTTAGAATAAACGCTAGTGTGTGCATACGAAACAACCCATTAAAATCCCTACACCGTCCTGAGTCCACTGCAGCACAGTTCTGTCTAGGCTTGTTGGATTTTAGCACAGATTTATACAGTATATGGCATACCTGCTCCTCAACACACAACATAAGAAAGGTCAGTGGTAGACTCTCTCTATCACCCTTCATTCTTATTGAGAGTATAATTCATTTGCTAAAAAAAGACAAAATACAGAGCTTACTGATTATACTTTATTCTTGTAAATGCTTAATGCTAATCATACAATAATATCATTAAAGAAAATTAGTCTGACATGCTGAAAGCAATGATATCTTATAGCCTAAAAAAAAGATTTTTCACCCTCAATACACATGAAGCTTTCTTCAGCACAGCCTCTTAAGCAGGCTTTCTCTTTAAGTAGGCTTAATCTCCACCTCTACTGTGTTTTACAGATGGCTGTAGGCACTCACTGTTGTACCTCTTTCCTGACCTGTAAACTGCCTAAGCCTTCCCAAGTAGTTTCCCTTCCTTAGGAATGGCTTCTCGACAGCCACCCTTCCACCCTGCCTCCTCTTTTTTTGTTGAAACATGTAATTTTTCATAGTTTTTTAAGAAAAGTGGCATGTTACAGCTAATAGGTTTTTAGGAATCACCTCGTTGCTACAAAATTACTATTTTATGTCTGTCAAACTGTGCCATCATTGGCATTTTTTGTACATTCACCTACAGACATGGACAAAATTGTTGGTACCCTTCGGTCAATGAAAGAAAAACTCACAGATCACAGAAATAACTTGACAAAAGTAATAATAAATAAAAATTCTATAAATCTTAACCAATGAAAGTCAGACATTGCTTTTCAACCATGCTTCAACTGAATTATTTAAAAAAATAAATGCATGAAACAGGCCTGGACAAAAATGATGGTACCCCTAGAAAAGAAGGAAAATAATGTGACCAAAGAGACTTGTTAATCCAAGGTGTGTCCACTAATCAGCATCACAGGTGTCTACAATCTTGTAATCAGTCAGTGGGCCTATATATAGGACTCCAGGTAGTCACTGTGTTGTTTGGTGACATGGTGTGTACCACGCTCAACATGGACCAGAGGAAAGAGTTGTCTCAGGAGATTAGAAAGAAAATCATAGACATGCATGTTAAAGGTAAAGGCTATAAGGCCAACTCCAAGCAGCTAGATGTTCCTGTAACTACAGTTGCACATATTATTCAGAAATTTAAGAACACTGTCCCAACTGTGAAACATGGGGGAGGCTTGGTTATGTTCTGGGGATGCTTTGCCGCATCTGGCACAGGGAGTCTTGAATCTGTGCAGGGTACAATGAAATCTCAAGACTATCAAGGGATTCTAGACAGAAATGTGCTGGCCAGTGTCAGAAAGCTTGGTCTCAGTTGCAGGTCATGGGTCTTAAAACAGGACAATGACCCAAAACACTCAGCTAAAAACACCCAAAAATGGCTAAGAGGAAAACATTGGACTATTTTAAAGTGGCCTTCTATGAGCCCTGACCTCAATCCTAATGAGCATCTTTGGAAGGAACTGAAACATGCAGTCTTGAAAAGGCACCCTTCAAACCAGATACAACTGGAGCAGTTTGCTCATGAGGAGTGGGCCAAAATACCTGCTGAGAGGTGCAGAAGTCTCACTGACAGTTGCAGGAATTGTTTGATTGCAGTGATTGCCTCAAAAGGTTGTACAACAAAATATTAAGTTGTGGGTACCATCATTTTTGTCCAGGCCTGTTTAATGCATTTATTTTTTTTAAATAATTCAGTTGAAGCATGGTTGAAAAGCAATGTCTGACTTTCACTGGGTAAGATTTATAGAATTTTTATTTATTATTACTTTTGTCAGATTAAAGTTATTTCTGTTACCATTGTGAGTTTTTCTTTCATTGACTGAAGGGTACCAACAATTTTGTCCATGTCTGAAACTAAATGAGAACAAATGCTTTTCTTTGTTCTCAGACTCAGACACTTTTCTTTCCAAGCTCCTTAGACTACAATGACCTGGGTTACTGAGAACCTTCACAGACATAAATGAGAACAAATGTGTTTTGTGACTGTACGCTTGTAACAAAGTGCCTAGAGATGCAATTAAAATTGATTCTTCACTAGGTTAATCGTTATGTAGAGACACAACAGCAGTTCATCCCTTGACTTAGTAGCATTTTTATGCTTAAATAATTTATAGATGAGTGCTAAGTGGCTTAACTAACACAAATATCTGACTACTTTGCTTAATAAAACTGTGAATATAACAAGAGTTGTATGTTATCCATGTAATATCCTTTGAGTCTGTTTTTTTTTTTTTTGTCATGCTGACAGTGTTTTGATTGTGTATACCGTCTAGATGTACAAGTGTTTTTGAAAGTGACTGGCACCTACGTGTGTGACTTTACTGCATTTTCTTATCTTTATCTACAATAAATTACACAAAATATAAAAATGAAATAAAAAAAAGCAGTTGAAACTGTTTGATTCTCAAGATATGTTTTTATTTGTGTTGTTAAATACCCCAATTCTTTGATCTCTGGGCTGAAGGAAGAAAAAAACTCTGTGTTTAATGCTCAATCAACAATCTCTTTATTCCATACAACACTTTGAGCATTAAGTCAGGAAGGGAGATTTTCACAGGAGGGTGTCTGGCAAAATCTGGAAGTGTCTAACCGTCTCTCACATTCTTATAGCTTCAGCCCCCCTCCAAAGTCATAAAACCTAAACATCCACATTCTTTCTCTCTCTCAGTGAGACAAAGTTACAACCTTGGCTTCCTGTTTGGTATGTTTTGTTTTGGAGAATTTTATGCTTGGTGTCAAATTAGGAAATTGAAATTGACCATAAGTGAAATTTATGGTGTTATCACCCCCATCGGGGCTTACCTTTCCCACTTTTCGGTGATATTCCTCCCTCAAACATTTGCAGTTACCCTCCTTTGGCAGTGGAAAACTGATGGTGTGGTCAAGTGGGTGCTATAAAAAACAAAAGCTCAGGAGAGAACAGTTATCAGTCATGTACTTCATGCAAAATTTACATATATTTTAATTAATATTGGTCCTCTGAGTGTAATGAAACATTTAAATTTGAACTTATCAAAGTTAAACAGGTTTTCTTTCTTTACTTTGCTTTTGTTCTTTTGTACTTTTTAATTATTGACTATTTTAAGAGGGGACCTAAATCCCATTTATTATCTTTCACTCAATCATGTGGATTGAGAGAGTTTTTGTTCTTCTGGTGGCCGTGGAACTATTGCTTTTTATCAAGGAACGGGACCGCGGCACATCTCCTACATGCACGGACTGTTTACTCCAGAGATCAGCTGATCGCCCTGATGCCGGCCGGCTCGCTGGCCAGACCCGCAGAAGTACCAGCTGAAATTTGGAGAAAAACACATCGGGGATGCAGAGGTCAAGGACAGAAGAGAAGAAAGAAGGAGACGGTGAGACAGCGGAGGCTCGAAGCGAGGAGGAGGTATAAACCATGTCTGCCGTCTATCGTAATGGGAAATGTGCGATCGTTATCGAATAAAATCGACGAGCTCTCAGCACTGGTACGGAGTCAGAGGGAATACCGAGAGTGTAGCCTGATGTGTTTCACTGAATCATGGATGCACCAGGACATTCCCGA